ACAATGAGAACGAGGCGTTATGATACAAAGTATTTGAATGGCACCATTTGCAAACCGAAAGTGCACCCCATATTTGATGCAAATCATTTGATGTGTTACACTTTAGATGAAAGCATGGGAACTACCGCTACGTTTGGAGGTCCAATGATTTCGAAAAAGAATAACAAACTCGTGGGCATGACCATAATTCGTTATCCTGATGAGCCAGTTATTTTTCAACCGATTGCACCGTTGCTTGATTGGATCCGGAAGCCAAATGTAAGACGTAATCAAAGAAGAAGAATATAGGCTTGAGAAAATGGGTTTTAGGCGCCTGAAAAGGCTGAATACCGTATCTTTTTTTGCCCCTGTCATTTGATGTTCAACAAAAGAACCGAATAAATTTGAAAATTTGAGAAAAATGCATTTTATTTTTCATTCGCCCATGCGCAGTTATATGATTATCTGGAAATATTGCGATTTATATTACAACGAGGTTTTTATACAAACTTCCCATGTAGATAGCCGACACACAGGCAAAAAACGAGAAAAAAGTGTAAAAAAAATGCCAAAACTATGATTTCGACATTGCAATCATACAATTGGCACCCATAGAACGAATGAACAACTTATGAGCTCTTCATCCATAAGTGAGACGGAAAAAACTTTGAGCAGAAAACAGACAAATAAAGCTGCGAGCAATGTGTCACTTTTGCTACTCAGCATTGAGCGGAAAAGACGTTTTTGCATTTTTCTCGCTACTGAAAATAGATAACGATTAGGTCTCTTCGACATTATTGTAGAAAATAAAAAGAACCACAAATAAAAATAACAATAATATATCAATGATTTACGAAATTCGAAAGGGAATAATGGAAACTAAATACCATGTCAACAGCACAAGCAACCATAGATATCCGACGAGTACTAACACAAGGCCGCGTTTCGAGAGAGCACGTACCAATCTTGGACTCAAAAGCATTTACCGTAATTGCACTGAGCTCTATTACGAACATGCCAACCAATTGCCTACTGAATGTTCTCTTTACACATTTGAAAAGCGACTCAAGGGAATAGTTCTCAATGATAAAATTTCCCTATGTTTTTATATGGAGCACATGTTTATGCTATATTTAAGCGACATCTTGACGCTGAACGCTGAACTATGAAACTTCTATATAAATATACTGCCAACTATCAATGACAGCAACAATAGAACGTATTTGTATTGCAAAATACCACCGCGATAGTCTCGATCATTAAACGTCAAACCAACAACGCCACTCATTTTGACGGGAACTACATTTGTGAGTGTATTCAATGCAGTGTTAAACACAGTAGTCATTTGTTGTGTGGTGAAATAATAATTATTATTTGAATTTTAAATAAATAAAAATGTTTCGATTCTGCCAATTAAAATTGTGCAAATATTCCGCTGGCACACAAGACAAAAAAATTGCTTTCTTTCAGAAGATTAAACCCGTATTTTAAAAAAATTGTTTTTCCGTTTTCAATTGAGTTGTATGAGAGAAAATTACGGTTTCATATGATATATTTACAGGTGGGCGAATTCGCGAGTATATACTCTCATACTCACTCATTTCGAAAATGAGTATGTCTCGACATACTCTCATACTCATAGATACTCTTTGAGTATGAGAGTATATACTCAGAGTATATACTCTTTGATTTTGAGTATGTCTCGACCTACTAAAAATCGTCACTTTTGTTCGACAAGTACCTCAAAAAATCACTTTTTGGAGTTTTTGTCTGAGAAGACTGCCCATATTTTTGAGAAAAAATAACTTTCTACCAAGACACCAACCATGAAATGTGGATACTTGGAAATTTTTTGAACAAAAGTCGATTTTCCAAGATTTGAAATTGAACCAACCGAATATGAGCCTAGAATTATATGAACACATCACTTGATCTGGTCATATGGGCACTCAAAATGTTTGTGAGGGATCACACTAGAAGTTGAAAGGCAGCAAAGGCAGAAATTGTTTGCCCAGTGAGGTAATATCACTGTTAAACCGAAGCTCATGGGCGTATTTTCCTCATTTTGCTTAAAATAGACGCAGTTTACGACACAAAAATCACATAAATCTATACAAATGAAACCGGAAATCAATTCTACGTCAAAAATCAAGTAGAAATAGCTCTTCAGATGTTTCAAATTTGAATAAAACTGGACCAGTTCAGCTATATGTAGCGTAAAATGGCGACTTTTTGGCCATTTCCGAGTATATTCGAGCCTGTAGAGCCACCAAATCACTATTTTATGTGCATCTATTGATCAGATTTGAATTCTTCGTCAAAAATTAGAAAAATAAAGTCAATTTTGGCCACGCATTTGAGGTTTTTCGAGGGTCCAGAGGTGAGTTTTTGCGGAAAAGTAGCCAAAAAATGGATACTTGGTCGAATTTTGACCTACGAAATCATCAAAAAATGCTCCAGATAAAAATTGAGTGGGCACTGTGGGAATCAACTTTTCGGCATATGTCCCAGAACAAAATTTTCTTCTTTCGAGATGCCAAATCGATCGCGCAGTGTCCATTTTTGAATTTGTACGATTTTAAAAATCGATCCACCCTAGTAGGTATTATTGCTGTGCGCAAAATTCCTGTATTTATTTATTTTTACTGCGAGTGGTAGCGAGCGAGATTTTTTTTCAAAAACAGAACTTTATGGGGCACCATAAACAGCTTTTCAGAGTATGATTATTTTTCTTGGGGCACCAAAACATTAACAATTTTTTTCATTTTCTCACTTTGTGGTGCCCCCAAATGCGTGGTGCCCTGAGGCAATTGCCTCAATCGTCTCTAGGGTTAACGCGACACTGGTATGCAGTTGATAAGACACTCAATAAATCAATTGGATCGATTTCAGATTGGGCTTAGATCCGGAAAAACTCTTTCCATTCGCATTGATGTTGGAACATTTTCGAAAATTTGCAAGATTTGGCCTAATCCTGTCCACCTGACTTCTTCCAATGATGACTTCCGAGGATGGCCATAGCATTGACATCGATGAGATTGCAGTAAACGCTAAAAATGGCGAAGAAATGGACGTAAGTATGTTTATTTCAGAAAAATCCCGCAACAAATTCAACACACGATTGAGGGGCGTTGTTAGTGATATGGTGCGATTGGGATATATCTAAAGCAATTTGATCTACTGGAACAATGTATATGAAAAACCAAATAAAAACACATCAAAAATAGAAAATTTCGTTGTTTTGAAGAATTTGGCCCCGATATTGATGTAAACTTCCAAATTCAATGGAATTCTCAGTTGGGTTTTCTGCTTAATGGGTAAAGTATGCGCAATTTCATGCGATAATCAATGTGAGCGTCGAGCAAACTTTTTTAAGACATAAAACAACTTGACGTTGAAAAAAAAACGAAACAAACAAATCGATGGTTATAAAACCTAGTTTATTTGCTAGTTTTGAGTACGTCACCAGTTTATACTACTTTTGAATTAGATTAACATTCTTCACGTACTCACTTCGAACATATGATGAAAACAATGAACAGATAAACGAACATTAGACACAGCAAAACAACAAATGAGTGACTTTTGATAAAATTATTCGGAATTTGTTTCGGACGGCGGTGATTGTTTTGATCATGGAATTAATTTGATCACACTCTTCAATCTGACACTTTTTCAATGTGAGTGAACATTATCGGCCGTTCCTTGTTCCATCAGTCTACACTCATAAATTCATTGTATTTCATTGACATTCGATGTGGTAGAATGTTTTAAATTCAAATTGATAACTAAATTCAAGCGAATGAATCGTCACGTTTTTGTATACGTTACGAAGCGACAAAAAACATCTATAAATACGCAGGTTTTTGTGCTTTATCGCTGACTGCTTGGAAAGAGAAAGCAATATATTTAGCACCGACTAGTTTTGTAACTTTCTTTCGGGTAAAAACAGTGACGCTTAGAATATCACACGATGAAATGACATGTTTGAACGTAAAATGATGTAACGCATTATATTGCTCTGTCTCGACAAAACAAAATAAGTAAAATATATAATTATAGTCGAAACATGTTGACGACCCACTTTATTTGTGGCTTCCTATAAACAATGAGCATGGCTTATAGCGCGAACATGCCATCAAATATTTCATCATGTGTTGTGCACATTGTTTTTTTTTCAATTGGCTGAACAGATTGGAATTTATTGAAATTTCTTTTCATTTGGGACGCTATTATTAACTGACGCTATGACTGATGAATTTAGTGGCAACGACAAGCAAAACACATACACACTGTCACAAACACAATTTTATGTATGCGATCAGCTGAGCTAGCTACTCTCCCATAGCCGCTACACACACTTTAGAAAAGTACATAGTTCGTTTCAGTTTTATTTCGTTCTGTGCATCGTTCGGTTTGTGATTATCGTTGTGTTTGATAAGTGATTTTTTTTTATAACTACATCTCTATTAGTGAGATGTAAAAGAACGCAAGTTGGTCCAACTTCGTAGCAATAAAGAGAAGTATGTTTGATGGCAACTAAAAATGGTTAAAAGAATGTATGTTCGTTTTTAGCGGTTCCTCACGGTTTTTCACGGTTTCCGCGGAACTGATTAGAGATAACAACTTGGTGTCTTCGGCAAAGTTGTAGCACCTGAGCTCTTCTATAACATTGCTGAAAACATCTATCTTTTATCTCTTATCAGTTCCGCGAAAAGCGCGAAAAATGATAAGAAAAAAAAAGTTCTATATAAAATTTGCTTTTTTATGTGCGCGATTTGTGCGCAATTGATAAGAGATAAGAGAAAGATGTTTTCGGCAATGTTATAGAAGACCTCGAGTACTACAACTTTGTTCAAGACACCAAGTTGTTATCTCTTAAAAGTTCCGCGGAAACCGTGAAAAACCGCGGAGGCTAGACGGGATGCCAACATACTTCCTTTTACAGAAAACATACTTTCCTTTTCAAAAATATAAATCGACAAAAAAACATACATTCTTTTACGTCTCACGAATAGATCTAAAGTCCAGTTCGGTTCAAATAATCCTGTAATGTAAATCATTTTAATTGTAAATGTCATATGGATTTAAGTTGATTGCAAAGATAAGATGTGTACTGCAAACGGTTTTATCTTGACTCATACAAACGACGCATTCCAAAAGTCGCTTTGTACATAGCTTCTATATCTCTGCACTATATCGATTCGGCAGTGCCGAAGTTCACTGAATCTGTTGACGAACGAAAAAAAATTTAATTAGTGCCGTTTTGGAGTGAGCACTGAGCACTGACAAATATAGTAAAACTGATTTCATTCCATCTGAGTTGTTCAATATTTCGGTTGCTTTTAAAACGATCACACGTGAAGTATATCTCATAGCTCTTGTGTGAAAAAATCGATTGCTATTTTGTTTAATCTAGTTTTGACTTTGGAATTCAGAAATGTTTATCATCGGAATCTAAACTGGACAGTGGACACGCTTCTGTATTTACTTGAGTAAATTTAGTGAATTTTTTGCGTTTGAATTCGCCCAAAACTGAATTACGGTCGATGAAGGACCCATAATTTACTGTTGCAAAAAAGTGTTCCGACTCATAAAATTATAACAATTAGCATGGTCATCGTGCATATTTAGGAGCGCATTAGATTTATAAACGGTTTGTGTTGCTAAAAATAAAACTCGAATTCGAAATAAATACGAGCGTTCCACGCAAATTGTGCTTTTTCTAAATTCTCCGTTGGAATATTTACATCTTGTTCTATACTACTGTACAATATTTACACTTCGAAAATGGTCGAGTCCGGTTTGTCTGAGATTCCAAGCGAATTGATCCATACAACGGTCAAAGAATTCGTTGAGCATCAGTTGAATTCGAAACAGTACACAATCAAGTGTAGCTCAGCATCACAATCAGGAGAAAATAATTTCATTGGCATTGTTTATCGTGTGACATTTGGTAAAGATGATAAAACCGAAAATGGAACCACCAACCAAGGTTCAAAACTAATTCTCAAAGTTTCACCACAAAATTTGGCAAGACGTGAACAATTCATATCAAGGCCATGCTTTTTGCGGGAAATTTATATGTACAATGAGGTAAGTCTGATTGGCGTGGACTCGTTTTAAATGCTCGCAATTTTTGTATCTTCAAACGATAATTCTGTTTGAATCAAATTTCTCAATTCCACTATATTTCGTGCAGGTGTTGCCGTTTTTCCGCCAATTTGAAGAGTCAAGGGGTGTAATTCTTGATGATAATGGTTTCATTGAATACCCCAAATGCTATCGAACCGTTGATAAAGAGCTTGATGAGTGTATATTGCTCGAGGATTTGAGTGTTCGAGGTTTCAGTATCGTCGATCGATTCACTGAGGATATTACTGCTGATCATGTTCGTTTGGTCATGAAAGCGTTGGGCAAGTTACACGCACTTTCGTTTGCCTTGAAAGATCAACAGCCGGCCAAATTCAAAGAACTCACTTCAAATCTTAGCGAGCATTTTATTCGTAGAAATGAAGACCTTATGCGAGGATACTTTGCAAAACAAGCAGAAAGTGCTTCCAGTGTGTTGTCCGAAGAGGAACATGGCCCCATAATAGCCAAAGTGAAGAAATTGTTTGAAACAAGCGCTATAGATGTGGCAGCTGATTGCCTTGATTTAGAAGCAACTGGGTCTGCTTCGGTCATAGCTCATGGAGACGCGTGGCAGGTAAGATTTTGGGACTTAAAATCCAACCATTATGATTTAGAATTTCGCTTAATCTTTTTGGATTTCAGAACAATACGATGTTCAGATACGACCAAAATGGTAAACCAATCGAAGTTAGCCTCTTGGATTGGCAAGTATCACGCCAGTCATCACCAATCATTGACATTGTTTACTTTGTGTTCTGTTGCACTACAAAAGAGCTGCGTGACGCTCATTACGATGATTTCCTGAAAGTTTATCACGAGAGTCTATCGACACACATTCGAAAGTATGGCCACATTCTTGATAACTTTTCGTTTATATTTAAAAAAAAAGCGTCTTCAAATAATTGAATTGTTTTTCGTTGAAACAGACTCGGCTCAGACCCGGAGAAACTCTTCCCGGAAAAATTGATGCAGGAACACTTCCGTAAATTTGGAAAATTCGGATTGGTTTTGGCAGCAATATTGCTACCGTTGCTCACCAAAGATAGTGGAAAAGAAGTAGATTTGGACGGAATTGCCGATGGTATTAAGACCGGGCAAGTGGATTTGGATACAAATATTTTCATGACCGATTCATCAACTAGGCGATTCAATAAACGTTTACGGGATGTTGTTATTGATATGGCTCGATTGGAATACATCTAAAATCAAAAAGTCTCATATGCAGCAATAACTATTCAAAAATTATGCCATATCTTTTATACTCTCAGTTGATGTTAATAAATGTGCCCGTTTTCTCAATTGAAAATTTAGAATAAATGTTCGATCAATTAACACAATGATTGAATAAATTACCGCTTATTTCCGAAGGTTAACTCCATTTCAACTGATTCTGATGATTCAATGGAATCGAATTTAGTTTGTGCTTGCATTAATTTTGATTTATTTGCAACTATCGCACTAATTGCACCATGAACACAAGATGATTTATAGAAAATGTGAATAGTAATTAAAAACCAATTAAATATTACTACTGAGTTTCGTTGTAAATTAATTTGAATTGTATACAAATCTGATTTGCTATCTCACGTTTGTATCATTCTAAAGAAATTTCATATGCAAATTATAAATCCATACAATATATGCATATGTTTGACTCTGAAGCGAACTTTTACATCGCAATTACAACGCCGCATCCAGCTAAACTTGTTGAATCAACAATGTTGATAATCCAATTTTAGGCTGTGCTAACGATAGAGCAAGCAGCATTCAAATATTACTATGGCTTTTTTGAAATTGATTTGCTTTACACAAAAATGTAATATTACGTTTTTTTTTCAAATTCCCATGGTCATCAAATTTCTCCAGTTCTCTTTGTTTATGTGTTACTATTTTTAGTCGAATTATGATTTCACGTGTTGACCTCGTTATTATTGACCAAATTCTATCGATTCAAAACACTGTTCATCCTATTGTATTTCATTGAAAAGCAAATTTTGCATATTCAAAATTCCAAATGGAACGTAAAGTATGTCAGCTGTGAATTTGGAATGACTCAAAGCAAATATCCAATGCGCAATTTTCCATAATTCTCACTAAGGATTTCTTAGCTATTTTGAAAATCTCGACCAAACGAACTTCACTTTGAGTTTAATTGGTTATCGTCTCATTGATGAATGCTTCAATTACAACAAGTTGAATGATTTTTAATTGACCAGAGAATTTGTGTTTTAAGAATTCTGCGTAGATGGACCAAATTATAACAATGTACATTTTGAATAATAGATTTTTTATTGATCGTTCTGTGTAAAATACATTCTTTAAATTGATGATAGGCCTGTTTGATTTTCATTTCCATACATTATGATGTAGTGTATTGGCTATTGTGGTAGAATTGAATTTGATACAGAAGTTTAGTTGATTTTTTGATTTTTGGTGACCTGAACTTTATTGTACTATGTATCTTATCCATCCATACATTGTAATGTAGTACATTTCATGTAACGGATCAATTATAGTTTGTTATGCAATAACCTTTTTTGGGTTCTAACAGACTCTACGCGTAGCGTAGAGCGAGAATGAACTTTCTTACTTTTTGATTGTAAAAGCGAATGCGTATATCACGCAAAAGTAGCACAGTGAGGGCTCTATCATGACTTTATATTGAGTGTATAATATGATAATCGAAAAAAATGTACATATAAACTTTTGTTGCCTTTTAACGCAAAGATCACTTCCGGCATAATCGATCAGAACAAGTTGCTATCAATCTATTGGAATGACGCAAACATATGAACAGAATTCACAATTTGAGGTTTTGCGCTTGAATTGACTTTAACTGTTTCATTGAATATATTAACCCACTTATACCAATGACCATGCTCAGTCTTCCATCCCATTCATACACTTCTTCACTAGCTTTGAATTCAAATAATGCGATTTGGATTTCATCCATCAAATGATAAGTAAAATATTTCAGTATCTTGAAATTTGTAGAATGGATTTTCATGATATCAATCAATTTGAACTTGAAAACTTATCGACATTTAAACTGAACTTTAAGTTACAGCTAAATTTGTAAATATCCTCCGATTATAAGTTAAATTCAATATTACCATAGGGCGGCAGAGGAATGCGATTGTATGAATGTCTTCTTTTTACGCTTATACATTCATACAATAATTTCGCAATTTTCCACAGATATAGCTACCAGTCCTCTGAGTCAAATTTGATTACTTATGTATAAACAATTACATAAGCCTCTGTTCGAATATTATATTTATATAATAGAAGATACAATTAATCAATTCCTATTAAAAACGGTGCTGAATAACATAGTTTAGATTCAAATTGGGTTTTCTATCATTTCATTACAGACTTGTTCTAGTTCCTTACTAAGTCCATTTATTAAATATTGAATCGAACGAAAACTACTGCAAGTAATGTGCGATTACAAACTTGAATTTCTTTCGTAGAGTTTCAATTGTAACGTGTAATTTAACTAACCAGGTAGAACTATTTCTTTTGAGAAATCCCATTAAAATAACAATTATCATTCAATAACAAAGCATCCGATCACATATATCTATTGGTGAGACGTAAAACAACGTAAGTATATTCAAGCTCGTAGCAATGAAGAGAAATATGTTTCATCGGAACTAACAATATTAACAATGTATGTTTTTTTTTACGTTTCTTGGAATTGATAAGACTTGGTGTCTTATTGGATTATTGGATAAGTGCAGGGAGTCAGAGACTCGTCGCTCAGGCTGAATTCAGTCTATTGCGAGGCGCCCGCTTTTTTCGGGTGGATTCTTTGCACACCATTCGTCGATTGTGGAGGGCCCATTGGTTTGTGATGTGCCTTGTACCTGCCAGATACGGGGTTCGGCTCGGGCTCCACCATGTCACTAGTGGGCCACATCACATTCAACATTTGGCACGCTCCGTAATAGACTGCTCCAAAAAAAAAAGTTGTCCCTCATCTGGAATGTCCGGCCAGTTTCGAA